CATTAAAATGTTTTTATTTTCCTTTACCATTCACTGTAGATTATTAAAAAGAAAAAAAATTGAATTGTGCATATGTGTGAGATTAGTTATTGTTGTTTTCGTTTTAGCTATATAGTTAATATTGTTAAGTGTTGCGTTGGGTGAGAGAAAAGGAGAAGGCAATCTCTCTCTTCCGTTGTCTCTGTTACTTATATTGTTATATTAAGAGAAGAGAGATTTCCTTTAACCACGTATACATACGTTTGTGCGTGTGTATGCATGCAGATTTAGTCATTGTCATCTTAGCGCGCTTTTTTTCTTGCTTATATTTTGTTAGTACTTTAGCTAAATCTTTCCTTTGTGGCTTTCAATCCGTATAATACATACATAATTCTACTTTTTATTTGCGTATTATATTAATAATATTGCGAAAATATTTTTAACATATGTTATTGGTGATGATTTGAAGTAAAATTTTTTACGTTCAAACAAATATACAAAGTTTATAAGGTGTTTTGATTACGGAGGAACTGGGGAAGGTGTGACAGAAAATTTAATAAACTTATGTAACACGAATAAATAAAGCTTTATAAAGTTTAAACTGATTTTGGTTGTAATCCGTATACAGCCTTGAGGGCAATTACATATCGAGTGCCTTACCCCTCTCACACCTTCTATTATACCTCTAGGTCTTATTTCGGTTTTAACGAAGCAACAAACAATTACATAGATCGACGAAATTCGAAAAAGCTTCACTACGCCAAAGTTCTTTAGTGTTTAATTAGGGATTCGTGCATACGGAGTTCTAAATTCTTGCACTTATTCGCGATCAGAGTGTGATCTATTATCTTGTATGTGAATTTTTATACATTCGCTTAATTAATGTATAAAGTTATGAAAAGCTAGAGGTTTATGTAAATCTATTAATGCGCGCCGTTAGAGGTTTCTAGTAAGAAAAATTCAATCGATTTGCCGGTTCTTAAGAGGTGTGTTCAAAAAAGATGGCCTTTTGTTTTTCTCGAAAAATTATTCAGTATATATTTTGTCCTCTGCCAAGTAACGAACTTTCTACGAAGCACTTCTGATATACGATTTGGTAAGGCTTTTGGGCTGTTTCTGGGATGCGTCTTTATCTTCTTAATCGTGGCAAAATTATGTCCTTTCGTGGTTCTTTTCAGTCTTCCGAATAGGAAAGAGTCGCAGACGATCAAGTTTGGTGAATACGGTGGTTGAGGCATGATTGCGGTGTTGTTTTTTGGCCAAAAAATGACGAACAAGCAATGACATGTGAGCTAGCGTGTTATTGTGGTACAATGTCCATGACTTTTCACAAGTAAAACACCTCAACGACCTCATCAGCAACTGTAAAGCGCTTTTACCAATTGAAAGCATTTTTTTTTACCTCAAAGTAGACTCGGCAAATGCCTTGTCCAACGTTCTAAGTGAGTCAGAGCGATTAACCTTACTTCTCATACAAAATTTAATAAAGATTCTTTGATCTAATTTTTTCGATAGCAAGTTATCGCCAAGCAAACGAAAACACACCTAACCTTCAAATCTGTCGAAAACAAGCTAAAAATGCAAAATGACTGTTAACGCCAACATATATTGTGAGCCCTGTGTACCAACATACCAAAAAAAAAAAAAAAAAAAAATCGCAAATCAAAATTTGAACGGTCGACTTTCTTTTGGAACACGTTCTGTATATCTTACCCTAGACGTTATATTTCCAATCATAATTTTTATGGTGTTTCGAACTATTTTTTAAACTAAGAACTATGTGTAAGCCTTTCTGTTTATACATATAATTTTTTTTTTTTGTTTGCCTTAAATATTAATACGGAAACGTTTTAAAAGTAAATTATTATTATTTTAATTTTAGACTAATGAAATGAATTCTTAGACTAAAAAAAAGACATTGAGCACTAGCAACACAGGCTATCGGCTCTAAAAGTAAATTAAAATTCTACAATTTGATGGAAGATTCTTCTCAATATTTTGACAACTGTCGATGCGCCAGATTTTGTCTTGATTATCAAACTAGACGAAATTGGGTGATTTTCAAATAGCAGATATTAGCAAAACCATCACTAAAAAACTAATATAAAAAATTGTAATATTTTCTGTTTAGTGGTCCATCTATAAGTTAACTGATTGGAGTATAAGCGTTTATTTATTTTTTTTTTTAAATCAATAATTGAGGTAAATTTAAGAAACGTTGTTCTAAATTAGGTTTAGCTTAATATGTCGTAGCTCTTTTCTGTTACGATTTAAAATATTCTGCTTATTATAACGGACATTTTTTAACTAGCGAGGTTTTTTATACCTATTTTGATCGCGTTTGCGAAGTTTCTCAAGCTAAACCTGGAAAAGGGAAAAGGAAATTATAAAAGATTCTTCTTAATATATAAAGCGGATCATCATTATCCCAAATACGAAGGTATCTTAATAAGTGCACTAAACCCAATGGATCCAATGATTTTATTCATTGCATTGTTTTGTAAGACGTTTAAAAAACTCGGCTTTGTCTATCCTTGATGAATAATTAACGTTGACATTGCTTTCTTACTAAAGGCGCCACTATACAACAACAATTGCAATTGAGGCATAGGTATGATATTTGTATCATGTTAGCTACTGCTATAGTAATATAATATAATGAATAGCATTACTGAAAAACGAGTTCGAAAGCGGTTAACTGGAATATGCGTCCTCTCCGTTAGATACACTACTCCACCTACTTAATGCTGATTACTTAAACGAGCCGGCGTCCTTTCGGCACGAAATTGATATTACATTAGAAAGAAAATATATGTATCTACATATATCCAATGGATAGTACTTTAATGACGGTTTTGAAATTCCAGCTGAGTAGTATTAGCAAAGACTATTATTTTTCAACTTGGATCAATTTTTCATTTCTTTACGTTTCGCTTGCTACAGATAAAATGTATTTCTAATATGTAAGAAAAAAGTAAGAAAATTGTATGCGATTGTTACCGAATTTTTTACACCCATCACCGTTATCTTATTTTTGTAGAATAATGTTCTTGGAACTTATAGTTTATAAGCAACGAGCCCGAAAGAGGGAAAGCAAAAGTGTTCACTGTTTTTGTTCGTTGAAAAGTTTGAGTTCTTTTTATATTGTTTTGCAAGTTTTTAGGCGATACTCTTCATTTTTGCAAACGGGGAATATGTTTACCATAGATACTACACAGTTCCGCGAACGAATAGACGGACGGATAAACTTTCGTGCATTTCAAATTTGAAATTGGCTAAGAACTTATATACTTTGTGGGGTTTTGGAAAAAAATTAAATTATGTAGGCGTGGTCAATTTCTAAACTTTTGTCTACAGTTACCAGAGCATCGCCTTTAGAGCGAATACACACCATCTTTTGATGATCAGTAAAAATAAGTAAAGTTTAAAAATGGACCACAATTTAATATTAATAAACCTACCTTCTCGGAAGTGAGATTTTTACCCTGCATAAAAAAAAAAACGATCAGGATTAATTTACCTACCCGTCATAGTAACACCTCAGCATAAACATCAGTTGAGAATATTTCGTCGCCGGTTAATTTTGCTGAAGTATATGAAGGGCGAGGTCCTAAAAAGGAATTCTCAAATACTTTGGAAAGCAAAGGGATTAAAATGAACTTGGATGGATAGTAGTGAAAAAGAAATGCCCCAGAAAACGAACATATATATATATATATATATATATATATATAAAACTGTATAGGTCCATTGACTTGTTCAACATTTATGGAATGTGATGTATATATATATATATAGAAAGGAAATAACTCCTGACACTCTTAAAGAAAATGGGCGCAATAGCTTTTTATGCGCGACGTTCCATCTGTTCACTGACTTGCTGAAAATTTCAGAAGACGGAGCGGAACTTCTTATGTTGGCTTTCGGTAATAAAATATTCTCTGTTGCAGGAATAAGTTCAGATAGAAGACAATGTCCGAAAGTAGTCAAGCATAACAACAACAATTTATGTACTCATCTTCTATTGCAGTGCGTAACCCCATAGAGGATACTTTATAAAAAAACAACATCGGCAATATCAAACACACACACGCGCATATACACGTCCATGCAGGTTCATACACAGGTAGCGACGTACATACATCCGTGCATAGATATACACATAGAGTCCTTTAGCGTGCTATAGGGCAGGATAAAAGTATATCCGATTTTTATCGGGCTTAACTCCCAAAAGTCAAAACTTAAGCAAGCGGCATTTTCGATGCTTTCCCACACACACATGCACACGCACACGGCACATCCAAACGAAATTGCAACAAGTACTAATAAAAAATACATTCATAAGATTTATTGATTGTAACGCATCACCTACTGCAGGAAAAAATGCATAAAAAATTGAATGGAAAGAGCACTTTGTTCGACTCAAGCGTTTTAAATGTAATTTCATGTTGAATTCTCTCGCATGTAAATACAAATAATACCGACAGCTTTCGCATGAGGATGTTTAGAAAAATGAAAAAAAAAAAAAAAAAAAAAAAAATAGCAACAACAACAATGTAGGCAAAGAATACGTAAATAAATAATATATAATATTACGCAAATATAAATTTTTTTTTTTTGCAATTGCCTAGGAGTGGAAGAACATCTGACTGCTTAGCAAAGCCTATCCGTGATGTAGAATAAAACTTAGGATAAGACGACGACTCATTGCAGAATATACGTTCATTTTATGTTTGTTGTCTCACAAGTTGATAAACTAAATATAATTTGTACTATTAAAGTGCAAGAACGGACATAACAGGGTGTTGAACTCTTCACAATTTCAAATGTTTTTGTTTTTATTTACGTTGCGTGAGGTTTTGTGTATATAGTGTGTTTTCCCTCACTCCATCTCTCTCTCTCTCTTTCTCTCTCTTTCATTTACTTTCAAACTAATATTTTCCTTTCAAAATTGAAACTTCATTTTATTCTCCATATAAACAAATTTTTTTCTTTTACATATTTTTTTTTTTTTTTTATAGACCTTTTTCAACTTTGAAGCGAAAAATCATTAAAAATTCAACTTTTGTCAAAATTTATTCATCGTAGCAACGTCTTCAAAAAAATCGGCAAATATTCTTAAAAATTTTTGCTCGTTTGATGTCCAGAGTAACGTTCTCTTCCTAATAAGCATTTCGGTTGGGTATAAGAAACAACAAAGGCAAAGCCAAATTGTTCTTGAATTTGAATTTTGCAAACGCGGTGAGGAAACGAAAAGTTTCTTTCCCTTTTCAATTAATATATCGGAGAGATTTAAGTGAAAAAAAAAAAAAAAAAGTTAAAATGCAAAATACTCCGATGAAAAAACGACGTATTAATCCATATTTGTTAAATCACAAGCAATTAATAAAAGCCGTAGACGAAGATCAACAGAAAGCGCAGCGTTATAAACGTTAGAAAAATAATAGCGGAGAGGCCAACAAAAACAAAAAAGTTTTCTCTTTCCTCAACCAAACAAAAAAAAGTTAAAGGAAAAAATTCCCTTCGAAGAATAACAAACACCAATAGACGTATATACGATATTGTATATAAAAAAAAGAAGAAAAAAAAAAAAAGAAGAAAAATCAAGACGAGCAATTGAGCCAAGCAAAAGTAACGGAAATTAAAAGACAAGCCATAAAAATGATGAAACGTACAAGAGAAGAAGTTCAATATGCTTCAAGACCCGGGCCGGGCGGTGTTGGAGGTAGTGGCGGCGGAGGTGGTACAAATAATAATAGTAGCGGCAGTAATGCGACGGGTGTGGTTACCGGTTCAGCTACAGTAGCTGGAGCTGCTATAAATATTGGAGCTGTTGTATCGGGTGCTCATGCTACTAACGCTGGTGGCGCTTTAAGCGTTGGTTTGACAACCGGTAATATAGCTCATCATCGTATACTCACTCCTCAGCATGGTGGTGCTCAAACTATAGCGTATTTGCCATCGACCACACCTGTTGCAGCAACTAATCTTAAAACCTCCGGTGATTCTATAGCTGCCGTTGGCAGCGGTAGCGTTGATGTAGTTGGCGGTAACAGTCGAATAACTCAACTTACCGCTGGTGCCGTGGTTACATCAGGTGGGTCTGTGAATGCAGCAAACGCATCTCTAAATCCTACGACTGTGCAGTATTCCACTTGTGAGTAAAAAAATTTGCGAAGCAATTTTCAAAATTTATGCTTATAATAATATGTAAATTCTTTTCCTCCATTCATGTTAGCCTACAATGTATCTTCCCTACCGGCAGGAAGTGCTTTGAAAACGTCAGAAGGTGCTGTACAAATTCATGTCACAGGTGGTGGCAATACTACCAGCGGTGGTAGTGTTGGCGGTGCAGTAATCGCTAATCCTATTGTTACGCCTTCCACCAATTCAATACGTCAGCGTACGATAAGTGGCACTCAGAATAGCAGCAATATATCGACGTCGCAGACGTTGGCACAACCAAATGCGGCTGCCGCGAATAATTCCCAGGTGAACGCCGCCAGCATTAGCGGTTCTGGAGCACCTCAACCCGGCCAACCCGGAGCGCCGCCACGGCTCAAAGTTGAGGATGCGCTCAGCTACCTTGATCAGGTTAAGTACCAATATGCTGATCAACCTCAAATTTATAATAACTTCCTGGATATAATGAAAGAATTCAAATCTCACTGTATTGATACGCCCGGAGTTATACAGAGGGTGTCAACACTCTTTAAGGGCCATACAGAGCTAATATATGGGTTTAATATGTTCTTGCCCCCTGGGTATAAAATTGAGATTCACTCCGATGAGTTGGGTTGTTCGGTGCCTGTGGTATCAATGCCTTCGCCGCCAGGTTCAGCGCCGGGTAGTGGGACAACAGTGCATGCTGTGTCAGGTACAAGCATGATAGCACATAAAGTGAGCTCCAATAATAGCGTAAACGTGCATCAACTGCAAGCCAGCGGGTCTGGCGGCGCGGTAAATTTAATGACGCACGGTGGAACACCATTGCCGCAAACGACTATACACGCTCTACAGCCACCACCACAACAATCGCCAAGTAGTGGTGGCGGCGGACACACCCCTACTCATACTCCTCATGCCAATACGTCACCGGCATCAGGCCAAGTGACAGTGGCAACGGTAAATGCCAGCACCATAAATTTGCCACAAAATTATTCACGTGACCGTGAACGCAGTGCTGCAGCAGCGGCGACAACCGGCAATTTAGTAGTAGGCGGTCCACCCACACCCAACTCTCTGAATGATCTAAGTCCTCAGAGTGCAACTTCCAGCGCTCATCATAATTTGCATCATATCTCACAAGCTCATCAATCGATGATGATGGGTGAAACAGCAGCTCCAGCGGGTGGACCACAGCAACAACCGGTGGAATTCAATCATGCCATAACTTACGTTAATAAGATCAAGGTGAGTGATTCAATCGATATGTTGTGTTCTCTTACTATTTAACTGAGTTGCATATTAATTTTTTAGAATCGCTTTCAAAATCAACCCGACAAGTACAAGAAATTTTTGGAGATTTTACATACCTATCAAAAGGAGCAAAAAGTCATTAAGGAAGGTAGCGGAAGTAATCTTAATCAGGGTAAAACTCTTACCGAACAGGAGGTTTACACCCAAGTTGCTAAACTTTTCGGACAGGATGAGGATTTATTACGGGAATTCGGTCAATTTCTACCGGATGCCACTAATCATCAGGCTCAGCAATATATGACTAAGTCACACAACGAGCATAAACGTACTATGGCAGCTTTAAGTGGCGGTGCTCATATAACGATGTCACCGGCTAGTGGCAGTGTCGGCAGCGCCACTAGTTCACCGCTGCATTTGGGTAGCGGCGCCACACTTTCGCAACTTGGTAATAGTGCTCATGCAGCTGCATTGGGCAATCTCTCGGCCGTAAATACTAGTGTCAGCATTAAATCATCCTATAATAATAATCAACAAAATCATATTATTGGGAGTAGTGCATCACGCGGTGATGCCTTGGCCGCTAATAATGATTTGCTATATGAAAAAGATTATCGTGGCATACATGTGAATGTACATCATCAAGCAGGAGCTAGTCATCACCATATAAGTGGCGGTGCTGCTGGAGGCGGAAATATACGGAGTTCATTCGATTCCAAAGATTCGCATAGACCAAATCATCATGCCTCCGTAGTGACTGGTAATCAAAAATATATGTCACATCATCATCATGGTCACAATCAAAACAGCCAAGCAGTTATAGGTCCTAATATGAGTGCTGCTAGTTTGGGAGGACATGTATCGAAAAAATCACCCAGTTATAGCAGTTTAAGTGCTGGATTAGCAAATGCGAGTGGAACGGGCATACAGCATTTAAGCAGTGCAGTTAGCAATGTTGGCGGTTTGAATTATGTAGCGACTCCACAAAATGCCTACCATAGTCAAATGCCACATGTTGGTTCTCGACGACATGCTGATGGCGATTTGAGTTTAAGTTCGGGAGTGCCTCCCACTAAACGGCATAAACCCATTTGCCGTGATATTTCTTTTTCGGAGGCGTCGCGAAAATGCAGTATACAGGATGCGGCCTTTTTCGATAAAGTGCGCAAGGCGCTACGTAGTCCTGAAGTATATGAAAACTTTTTACGTTGCCTGACGCTATACACAGAAGAGATTGTATCAAAGACTGAACTTCTGAATTTAGTGTCACCATTTTTAAGCAAATTTCCAGACCTGCTGCGCTGGTTTACCGACTTTCTTGGGCCGCCGGTATCGCAAGTAAGCGGCTCTGCTTGCGGCATAACTGGAGGACATTTAGAAGGTATACCTCTGCAGGCAGCTCAGCGTCAAAATAGCAGTAACAGCAGTTCGGGCGCGAACAATACAACTGGTGGCAATGTAAACGATCGCCAGAATAGTTTACAAGCAAATGATCATACTCAAGAAATTGATTTGGCTTCGTGCAAGCGTTTGGGAGCGTCTTATTGCGCGCTACCCCAATCCACTATACCGAAAAAGTGCTCAGGACGTACAGCCCTGTGTCGCGAAGTGCTCAACGATAAATGGGTTTCTTTCCCGACTTGGGCGAGTGAAGACTCAACTTTTGTCACCTCCCGCAAAACGCAGTTTGAGGAAACCATTTACAGGTTGGCTTACAAAATAATTTATTTATTTATTTTATTTATTTATTTATTTATTTTTATTTATTTTTTTTGCATTCTCTTGAATTTGTTTTTTTATATTATTTGTGTTGAATATGATTTCTTTTGAAATTTCATTAAAATAAACATTCTAAATGTAAGGAATATTCACAGAACGGAAGATGAACGATTTGAATTGGATGTGGTTATCGAAACGAATAGTGCTACTATCCGGGTGTTGGAGGGCGTGCAAAAGAAAATGTCGCGCATGTCTCCCGAAGATTTGGCGCGTTATCATCTCGATGATTATTTAGGGGGTACGTCGCAGACCATACATCAGAGAGCCATTTATCGCATCTATGGTGATAAGGCAGGCGAAATTATACAAGGATTGAAGAAAAATCCCGCCGTCGCTGTACCCATAGTATTAAAACGTCTTAAAGTTAAAGAAGAAGAATGGAGAGATGCTCAGAAGGTATGTACAACAACAACAAAAAAAAAAAAAAATAAATAAATAAATAAATAAATAAATAAAGGACTGTCGACAATTTATGAACCTAATTTTCATCTTCATTGTTGTGCCTTTGCAGACCTTTAACAAGCAGTGGCGAGAGCAAAATGAAAAGTATTATTTAAAGTCATTAGATCATCAGGCCATCAATTTTAAACCCAACGACATGAAAGCACTACGTTCCAAAAGTCTATTCAATGAAATTGAAACCTTATATGATGAGGTATTATTTATACACAATACAACATACATATTAATCTTTAAAAGATTTTCATTTGTCTCACTATTATAATTGCCTTTGGTTTTGTGTGTGTGTCATTAAAGCGCCACGATCAAGAAGATGATAACGGTGAACCAGTCACTGGGCCGCACTTAATATTGCCTTATAAAGACAAAACAATATTGGATGATGCTGCCAATTTGCTAATACATCACGTCAAACGTCAGACTGGGATACAGAAGCAAGAAAAAACCAAAATCAAACAAATACTCCGTCAATTTGTGCCTGATCTTTTCTTTGCGATACGTCAACCACTTAGTGATGACGAAAGGGAAGACGGTAAGTGAAATAAGAAAAACTACACTATAATATAGTTCTCTTACCATCCAAGAAATTTTGCGATCCACCCATTTTTTTAGTTGTGATAAGACGGTTGGTTCTTTTTACAAAACCGATTAAAACTATTGTAGATTTATATAATAAAAAGAAGTTTAATTTTTCATTGAAAGTTTTCTTCTACCTCCACCCTTTGATCTATTGTTGAATATTATCGTTTCACATCTTGGACTCCTTCTCGGTGGCAGAGGAAAGAAAATACAGAAAACTTGAATGAACATAAGCAACTATTAGTGCCTTAAAAATTATCAAATCCCCAATACATTCAAGCGCGAAAAGATTAACTTTTCCTTTTCTATACAAGAGAGAGAGAGAGAGAGAGAGGCTTATGTGTTCTCCGTATAGAATGATTCACTTGGCTGTCACAATCACAATTTTAACGAATGCATTTAATTTTTCGCTTCACTTAAGTCCATATAATTTCCATACTTCCTCAAGTACAGATTGTTATAGATGTTATTAATTAACTTAAAAAGAGTTTTCTTCCAAGTGTTTTTTTTTTTTTTTTCCTATTTACTCCGCGCATTTTAATTATTTAAAATTTTTATATTATTTTTTTTGTAGATGACAACGATAAAGTGGATACAGATCCAGCCAATTGCAGTGGCAGCACTACTAGCAGCAGTAGGGAGAAATACATTAGCAATAAGAATAGCAGCATTTCTTCCCTGCATTCGAATGCCTTAAGTACAATCAACACCTCAATAACATCGATGGCAACTACGACATTATTAAATACTTCAAATAATACTATAACAACAACACCACCTTCATCATTATCGACCAATTCCACTTTAAGTAGTAGTAGTGCGCTTGTAAAAGCCGAAATTGGCAACATTAGCAGCAGTAACAGCATTATGATGGACGTAAAAGATCCTTCAATTATCACAAATCATGCAATCACAACAGATGTAACAAATACAACAACGATAGCCACTTTATCAACGTCCACGCTTAATATAACAACAACGACAACGAGTGCATTGACCATAACACAAACAGCATCTTCGGCAGCAATGTTAGATAAAAATCTAGCCTCTAATCTTAATGTAAATATGGAAAGCACAATTGGAAGAGGAGATAATCTGTTTACGAATGCGAATGTCTCTAGCATTAATGTATCGGTAACTAGCGGCGTTGCCAATAATAGCAATAATAATCAAACGTCAAACGTGAATACTATGACTGATAGCAGCAAAACTACTAGTAGTTCCTCATCTATCACTAGTCCGACATCAATTATTTCACAAGTTGTTGTAAATAGTAGTGATAAAGGTACAAATAATGGAAGATGCGGTTACAATCCATCATCAACATTAACTAATGATAATGTAATAATAGTTACAGCGACAAATAGTTTAACATCATCGCCGGGTATGTCAACGATGACAACGGCAACGATCAGTTCTGCATCACCGACCAAACAACAGCATGCGGAATTATCATCAAACGGTGCTACCGGTATTTGCAATTCAAACATTTTAGACGATATAAAATTGGAAATTAAGCAAGAGGATGAGCAACAACAAGTCGCCTCAGCCGATATAATTATACCGCCGCATGCTATTAGCAAACATTTGGAGGAAGCTTACACTCTTTTCTTCGCAAATAATAATTGGTATCTGTTTTTCCGTTTACATGCCATACTATGCGAACGTTTACGGACTATGCTCGAACGTGCTCGAATTATAGCGACCGAAGAGCAGAAATATAAAACGAATCGTCGTGAAAATATTGCCACAGCTTTAAGGCTGAAACCGAAAAACGATATAGCCGTTGAAGACTATTATCCGACATTTCTGGATATGCTAAAGAGTGTTTTGGACGGTAATATGGATTCGACTACATTTGAAGATTCAATGCGCGAAATGTTTGGCATCCACGCTTACATATCATTCACTTTGGATAAAGTGGTCTCGAATGCCGTACGCCAACTGCAGAATTGCGTTACAGAAAGAACGGCTCTCGAGTGCGTCGAATTATTTCATCAAGAGCAAAAGCACAACGCTGCAGGCGGTTTATGCCGCAAGGCACATTTAAGATTTAACACTGAAATGCTGTATCAACGTAAAGCCGAAGAAATGCTCCATGAAGAAAATTGTTTCAAAATTTATATGGTATGTTGTTATTGGTTTTTTTTTTTTTTTTTTTTTTTTTTGTGTTTTCCATTATTTAATCATCATCATCGTTAAATAGAAAAATAAATTTAACTAAAATTTTATTTTTCTTTTCGCACACATTAGTACAAAATCGATTGTCGCATTACTATTGAACTATTGGACACTGAATCTGAGGATGTGGCTGAACGCGAAAAACCAGTTAATAAAGTGAAATCATGGTCAAAATATGTAGATCGCTTAACCAATCCAAATTCAACGAATTCCCTTAATAACAATGCTTTAACTAACAATAATGCGAGCAATACACTTATGAACGCCAGCGTTATTAATATGGAAGTAAACAGTGATTTGCCGAGCAATGAAATTAAAAGTGAACGATGGGATGAAGATGGCTTACTGGTAAGTGTTTATTCTCTCTCTTTCATCATAGACATTTTTTGTACGTAATTTATTCGTTATATTAGAACTTTAGTTAAATTTTAAATTTTAATCAAAAAAAAAAAAAAAAGATGAACCTATCCATCATTAAGTTGTATTTTACTCTAGATTTAAGTTCGCAGATTATGATTAGGAAAATATTTTCGCGTTTCGTGGTAACTTTAATTTTCCAGCCGCGATCCAAGAACGAAAGCATAGAATAACAGCTCTATGTTACAGTTGTAACTATCAGATACTTTATATTGTACATGTATATGCAGTTAAACATGCTCTTGAATAAATTCAAGAAATTCCCTTTCTCTTCTCGGCTTCAACTATGTGATATTGAAATAAAAATTCAAATGTTTTTTCGTTTAATATTAACAAGCAACCAACTCTTCACTATATATACGTTTTCACTCTTCTGGGATAAGTAAAGGGTAAAGAAACGTTGTCTCTGTCTCGCGCTCTCCCCCCCCCCCTCTCTGCTCCTCTCTACTCCCTCTCTCCTTCCTCTCTCTCTCACTCCCCCCCATCTCACTCTCGCTCTCTCACTCTCTCTCCCCCCTCTCACTGTCTCTCCTCTCTCTGTCTCTCTCTCTCTCTCTCTCTCTGTCTCTCTCTCTCTCTCTCTCTCTCTCTCTGTCTCTCTCCCCCCTCTCACTGTCTCTCCTCTCTCTGTCTCTCTCTCTCTCTGTCTCTCTCTGTCTCTCTCTCTCTCTCTCTCTCTCTCTCTCTGTTTCCTCAGTCTATTTCATATCAATTTTTAAATCTGATTGTTGTTGAAAGTTCTAAAAGAATTGCATTTAGAGAATCTCGTTAGAAATAAACCCAAACATTGGGTATTTTTTTACAACCTTTTTTTTTTTTTGCTTTGAAATGAATCAATAAAATATATTTTGCGCTAAGTACCGCTGTCAGATATTTAGTTTTTTAATTATAATTTCTCCAATATTTCCATCACAAGGATTCAATAAATCGATGTCGATCAATTAGTTATTTGAAATATTTCGCCATATACCCTGTAATGGTTGATTAGTGTAAACTTGAGAAGTGTTACCACAAAGAAACAAAGAAAATCGATAGAATCTTCCTTTGGGGATCAATTGATTGGTGGACAACTTCCCAAGATACTTTTACTTCTAAATTAGTCCTCCGATCGATTCGATGTGGGTAACAAAGTGAAGTACTAGCTACCCGTTTCCTTGATATCAGTCGTTAGTCAGTGCTTGCTAATCTGAAACGACATAGCAAGATAAAGACGATTGTTACGCCTATCTGTTATTTATTAAAAGACACACACACACTTTAGAAAGTCGTTAATACCAATGCACGGCGCATAAGAAAATTATTTATTATTCATGTTGCACTACGAGTCATTTGAATTATGCATACAGAAGGGCCGTTTAAAGACTAAAGTGATTAACTTACTTTACTTTATTGTTATTATTTGAGATAAGCTTTTTGTAATAATCAGGCTCCACGAATTTACTACATAACAATAATTTCGTCGTTGGCCGTGAAGTGATAAATTGTTTTTCTTCATAAGAAGAGGGAAAGAGAGATATCAATACGTATTTTCCGTCTTATTCATTACAGCGTGTAATGAAAAAGCGATTGCAATTTTTTCGTCACTTTTATACGAATCGGTCTTATTATACGATGAACGTGTGTTTTATATATATATCTGTTGTCTATAACGAATATATTTGAAGTTTTAAATTGAAAATCGCGGATAATTTGTATGAATTCATCTTATCCTTTATGGCTTTGGCGATACTTGCTACCAGTGAATATATAGTGTAACGTATTTACTAAAAAAAAAAAAAAATTCCTAATGCGATCATATCCTTATATGGGTAGGAAGAACATTTCTATATTGATGTAAGAATAAATTAATGATGGATATATTTGTTAATGTTTAATAACTTGTGTTCAATTAATTTTTATATGTAATGGGCTGCATTGTATTTATTTATTTTTAATACCTTTGAATACTACTTTCTTACATATACCTACCACCCGAAAATATATCATACTTGTACTTGTTTGCGTATATGCGTTTGATTTGTTAAAAATTCATATTTGAACTCTCGAAGCTACACCGTTCCAACGAGTGCACCCCTTGTTGTGTGTCGTCTCTTTACATATTTGAATTTATTACAGTTCCCCAAGCTATCCTCCTGCATCAGAAATGAAAACCATTTTTAATCACAAAAAGCTTCGAATTATAAAACGTTGCCTCAAAAAAGTGTAGGTTTTTTAAAACAATTATTTGCTTTGGACAAAATTTAGATACACAGCTATATAAAAATAGTATCAGTTTTAGTGAGATATAAGTATACTTAGGAGGGACTTAAGGTTTCTACCAAAAGAAATCTTAGAAGAACTTTGCAATGCTATGATGTGCGGACACTAATCACTAACCCAAAACTCAAACACTAATAATAAACGCCAATTTTTGTAGCTTCTGGTTAAATATGACAATTTTGCTTGCTAAGCAAGAAACAAACATCACGACTTACTCTCGATAGAAACGAAAAAGCGAAAGTCGCCACGAAAAGTCTTTATTAACAAAAATATTTCAAGTTTTCACTTGTTTTGTATAGAGCTGCGGTTTCCAGTGAAAAGGAGCAATGAAAGATGTTGGTATAAAGTATTATTACTTACACTTTCATTGTGTTTGTAACATTTAAGGGAGCAAATTATTGTAACTTAATAACCTCAAGAAAAAGATTCTTTTTGATGATTTCTTCGGGATAGAAAGAAAGCTAGTAAAATAATAATATATGAAGAGGTTATTAAGCACGCCTTAAAGTATTAGGAAAAAAAAGAATAATTTAAAAAAAAAATATCGCTTTGAGTCTTCTGCATATATATCGCTTGCTGTGTAAAAGTCTAATTTTTGACCCAGAAAAGGCACTCTTCTATTAAAACAAAACTTATGAAAAGTTTCAACCCTTGGAATATTTGAGAGACATGTTTTCGTATTACAATATACTTATTTTACCTTTTTTTTATTAGCCGGCAATTTGTGGACCCTAAAACGGTCCTTTCAATTTCATAAATCCCTTCACATTTTTTTTGCTGCATCTATCAAAGACAACGCAGCTTTCTTAATTCACTTAGTAATTAGCATGAGGGCAAAAATTGTGATACGATCCTGGTGCCAATATCACTATTTATTCGTAAAATGTTAGTCAAGACAGCATTGAAATTATTAACACTTGTCAGTCGCTGTGTCCAAGATGGAAAACTCCGAAATTTTAAGGAAAATTTTTTTTTTGCGGATAATGTTTTTATTTTCCACGAATTCTAGAAAAGGTCCAAAGCATCTAGTAAGCAAAAAAAAAAAAAAAAAAAGATTTTTTCAAAAATTTACAATAGTTTACTCGTAAACGTAAGGAAGATGTAGAGAATTAACATCAACTAACACTTGGTATAAAATATACGTTTAAGTCGGTTGAACGGATTAACTTTTATCCCTGTCCAGGATCAATGTTCTTATACAATATGCAATCAGATATCGATTCGAAACTTGCTCTTTGAGTATTTATCCAAAGTGAAAATGATCCTAACGATCGATTATCTTTTTCTTTCCTCTTCTCTCACGCTTAACGAAAGATCGATTGAGGTGGTGGGTATCCCAAAATTTTGCTATCAAAGCGAATTTGGCTTTTTTTTTACTTTATTTCAATATATGGTTTATTTTTCTCTACCAACCTAAAATTTTTGTTGAATAAAGAAAACGACTTTTAAATCAACCAAATCGAACAGAGCAACAATCAATTACTAATCAATGCTTTTTGCATTTCTCTGATTTTTTTTACTTCTTTTTTTTCGATTTTTCTTGTACCAGGTCAAACCAAAGGCTTAAATTTTATTTATATAACTAAAGAAAAAAAAAAAAAATAATAATAATAATAATAATAATAAGAAAGATCGTTGTTGTTGTTGTTTTATTAATTATCTCTATAAAAATGAAATTTGCTAGCCAAACATCATCAAACAAACAAACAAACAAACTAACAACAACTACCAATTAATTGTAAAGAAAAAAAAAATGTATTTATGATTTCAATGCAACACTTTATTACTACACACTTTATATCACTACTATTACTTCTACTACTAATACTACTACTACTACTGCTACTACTACTATTACTATTATTACCACCATCACCACCACTACTACCAATCAACACTCGATCATCATCAACATCAATCACCGCCCATCAAAACCCACCTTGAGTTTCAGTGCTTTTTTTTTTTTTTTTTTTGTATTAGAGATTTATGCAGGCAAAAAGCCAATTTTATGAAATACTTCTGTGAGCATTTAATAAAAAAAAAAAAAATTATTGTAAATTCTACTAAATCAAACGAAAAATAATTTTTTTTTTTGTACATAAAATTTATGATAAAACAAAAAAAAAAAAAAATAAAATAAAGAAAGGAAACAATAGCAAAATAAAAAAAAAACTTGTTAATAAAACTATTTATTAATTATTGAGTTGTGCAGCATATTATTATGATGTTCGTTCAGTAATTTGTAGCTCAGTAAAATTCGCTCATTCTTTTTTTGATTTTAAAAAGTAAATATGACGCGTTCCTTTGAATAATTTTTGAATAATAATAAAAAAAAAAAAAAAAAAA